TCAATTACACAGCGATGGATACACTGTTGAAAGACCTGAAGGTCCAGGCTGGGGACAGATATTTATATGATCACTGAAAGTCAATACCTACTTGATGACACATAATCAACAAATCAACTTTAAAAATTTATGCTTTCTTTTCTTCCACCTATCCACTTCCTTTTTCCCCATGTGTCATTCCTTTTAGATTATAAATCTCAGAGCATGATTTGTCATAGCACTGATGGTTGTAAGCTGGTTTAAGAGCCCCCTTTACCTTACAAAAGAGGGATAAAAATCCATAGATTTTTTTTTAATGAGGAAACTTTACATGACTCAATCCATATAAAATCTTAGATTTCAAAGGGACTTTCAAAATCATCTAATTCAACCCTGCTCAGTGCAGAGCAACATTTACTTCTTTATGATCTGAGTCCAATAAGACTGCAAGAACTGATGAACCATTGCTTGAATGCAATCACAACACTGATAGAGGTTAATAAACTGAAGATGGCCTGACACAAATATTTTGAATAGATTGTTTCTGAAGGAGTTGAAAATCAAAATGCATAATTATGCTAAGACACAGAGGATTCTGGAGGTACAGCTCTTAATGAATAACAGGGAAAAGAAAAAGTTACAATGCAGCCAGGACTGCATGCTGTACCATAATATTCCCCTCCATCAAACAGATACAGACATTCTGGTTGGGGTGCCAATACTGTTAACCCTTGGGCAGCACTTCATAATGAGCTGCTCAATTTCAGAAACTGTCTTCCTGGGAAAAAAAAAATACTCTGACCCAAAACAGAGCTCACATTTATCCAGGTGGCTACTTTAACCATCCAGAAACATTATTTGCATAGTGAACTCATCTTAATTAAGCTTTTGCAAAGATTAGGTGTTTTTCCCTTTGTAGAACAAAAGGCCCTTGTTTGTTTCCCCTCCCTCTGCAATCAGAAGACCAGAGCCTGATTATTAATCTACAGGACAATACTTCATTGCAATCTGCCAGAAGGGGAAAAGATAAAGTGGCAATCATCAAATCATTCAGCCCCATTAGGTAGGCCAAAGTAAGAAGAAAATGGTTGGCTACGTAGACAGTATTTTTACAATTCTTCTAGGAATACCAAATTATTGCTTCCTCGTCCCATGCACACTTCTATCAATGGTAGCATGCCACAGAACTGTATGCAAATCAAGGGGTTAAGAGGCTAACATATGCAATTCCCATCCACTCTAGGCAGCATAGAACAGACCACCCCATAAGCAAAACACGGATGATCTCATCAGAAAATAAAAGAGCTTTGAACCTCATTGCTTTGTGGTTGACATATGCTTTGCAGATTACAGGTTTAGTCTCAGGATTTACAATCAAAGATTTGGGAGGCGGTTTGGGGCAAGGTGGAGTGGGAGCAGTAACCCACTGCCAGAAAGAGAAGACAATGATGGTTTAGGTAGAATAGCAATCCAACTAAATGTAAAAGCAGGCTTGTGAGACGCGTAACTTCATGCAAAACCATTTTAGCACAGTTCTAACATGTAGTAGTAGCAGATTGTGGACAAAAAACAAAACATGGAGATTAATAATTACTAGTACAGCATCATGCAAACACAGGTACCATTTCCTCACTAGTGATTTATAGCATCTTCTAGTGTCATTCAACTATCCTTATGCCTCTGTAGATGTCATCCCCTTGTGGTTCTCCAAATCAGGAAACAGACTGCACAATAAGACTAGAATCTACTTTAATAAATTAGGCTACAGGTAAAGAATCTTGCAAATCTAACTGTGTCCCTCTTATACTCCAGCAAGGCAGGGAGGAGGTGGTCTGAGTCCTTTTGTAATACAGTATTTTCTCTTTCCCCAAGGCTGAAGGCATGCTTCTGCCCACTTTGCTTTTGTAACCATTTCTGAATATTTACACCAATCATCTCCATGATTCCCTACACCAGCAGCAATGAAGACAGGCTTTACACTACTACAACAATGGCTGAGTGGCCCCAGAAATTGGTATAAAACACATGGGCAGAAATGACCTCTCTTTATTGCCACAACAACTCAAGGGCTGGCTGTAATGATATCTGTCTTCCAATTTTCTGAAAGATTTAATCTCATGCAAAAAAAAACCCTTCAGCTTTACTACCAAATTCTTAGGATGCGTTAGAATTTTAGGGGGTGGTATTTTTGAATTTAATGTTGTGAAGTGGTGGAGGATACTGGAAATACCTTTTCCACTACAGATCTCTTGGTCATTCTGCATGGCATATTATTGGTCATAATCTCCATGGCAGATTATTGGTCATAATCTCCATGGCAGATTATGCTTCCTGATCTAGAAAAGCCCCCCAACGTTATCTTCTCTTGGGATCTAACTGAAAGGGTGGAGGAGAGTTAGAAAGGCTGCAGAGAGAAACAACTGTACAGCAAAAGCCACAACACAGACATATACTCCATAACCTAGTAAATACCTCATGAGTAAGATTATCACCTTAGCCACTTTATAACTGCAAGAAGCCCACACCAGAGTCATGAGATTTCAATCCAAGCTGTTATTTACTGAACAGTTTTTAGCCACTACATGAGATTTAGCCACTACAATTTTTATTTCCATTTTAAAAAATTCAAACACCATTTCTTTCCCATCAGATTGAACAAGAATGATTGAAAAAAAGATGAAATTTCTGCCACTTCAATAGGAGTCACCATAGCAAGCATCCATAGTTAGACTCCCTTAATTAGATACACTAGTAACAAACTATCACTGGCAAGCATAGCTTAGTGCAAATAACATTATAATTTCCATTGTTAAATTAAAAGCATATCCCAAATGAATAGAAATACAATAAACTAGTAACAATAATTATTCATATTGTCATTCCTTTATCACTGAATACTGTTTACATAATGCATGTGAACCCAAAGGACATGAGACCTTCCATAACACGACTGAACAAAGGAAAGAGTAGAATTGAGTTTGACTATTGATCACAACATACTGATGTACTTTCTCTGCCCATAAGATAGAAGTAATTTCCATTCTTCGGAGGAATTTTTTGTCTTCCCAGTCTTGCCTACAGTCCTTTTCAAGATCAACTAGGTCAGCCTTAAGATTGATAAATGCAAGGTATTAGTGACCAACCAACTCTTGCTCCCAAAAATGTATAAATGATATTTAGGAATCCTCTCTCATGGGATGCTAGTGACAGCTGTATTTAACCCTTAAAAGGCACTGTTATTTTAAGGGCAGTCCAGGAATTAGATTCTGCAAGTTCATCTATGTACTGTATTAAATAAAAAGAATGTGCTACAGCCCTGCTGGGACTACGCCACAGAGAATTCAGAGAAGAGGGGAACTGCACATCAGTATTACTCTCCTTGAGCAAGAATCTTACCACAGTTTAAGGAAAACTAAGGAAATAAGGCAGAAGGAACTTAAACCAGATCCTTCCCTGACATTCTAGATTTAAGACAATTAAGAATCGTAAGACTTTTATCATTACTCCAAAGCAGAACAGTCAAAATTGTACTGCATTATCACAGCACTTAGCAGATGTACTAAGATCCTATCATCCAAAAAAAATTACATCCCTTTTCTCTGTTCACATGAAAACAGAGCAGCTGCCTTTTTTTGAGGCTGCAGTGGACTCTGCTGCATGGTAATTAGTGGGAAGGATGTCCTATTTTGATTTTTCTGAGCTAAATTATCTTGGGCTGGCCCTGGCATGAATGCAATCTTAAGACGGGTTGTTAAAGAGTGGTGAAAAACAAGATTTGTTTCTGCTTTTGACTATCCACCCAGATCTACTGACCGCATACACTGATCAAAGGAATCAAATCTTTCATTAAACTCTTTGATCTTAGGATTATAAAGATTTAAAACTTGGCCAACATTTGCTTGAATCTGTAGTTTTATCTGATTTTTTAATTGAGTGCCTTCACATTTCCTTCCTATCCATTATAAAGGTTATTTGAAATAGCAGACAATTTTATGTTGAGAAATTCAGAGAATGAGAGACCAGAAGTTCCTTGTAGTCTCCAACAACCATGAAATTCAACAGATTTACAATCCCTAGCTTAGGACAAAGCTTTAACTGTAGGGATACACTGGCACCAAGACTGTAGTTTGGGGAGTATCTCTTTAGGTTTTAGCCCTAATTTCCATTTACAAAATACTAGCAGTGTTGCCTGCCTGTAGTTAACAACATTTTGAAAATATAACAATACAATCAAAACTTTGATAAAACATTGATAATACACTAAATTCAAGACAAGCAATGAGATCAGCACAAGGTGAGAGAAGACAGCAAACTGTATGCATACTTTGGGGTAGTCTTCCCCAGATGGGTGAACTCCAAGAAGTGCCAAACCAGGAGGACACCCAAGTTGAGTAGATATGCTTCAGAGGCTTAAAAAACCACAGCCTGCAGTTTTTAGCTGCAAAGAAGGAAAAGTATCAGCATTCCAAATTATATGAAAGGTATGTTCCCCCAGTTACCTGCTGCACAAGGGCTGGCTATGATCATTCACCAATCAAGGAGGACGCTCTTCTTGATCTTGCATGCTTTAGTCTAAGTCTTAGCATTCAGTGGAGGTTCTAGAATTGCAGGACTGCATGGTTTATCTTAAGTCCAAACTTTATTTAATTTCTCTCCCGTACAGAATATAATTACCTAAATGTAATTATTCAGAAACCAAACATTTCCACTTCTACAAGGGCAAGAAAACCAGAAAGGAAAAAGACTACCAGAGCTGTGCATATCTTCCTTTGGAATATGCAGGAGTGTGTATGGAGTACCTCTTTCTGAACTACTAAAGCATCTGTGTCTTTTGCTAGACTCACAGCTGCTCCAATGAGCCAGAAAAAGATGCTTTACATCTGCTCCCACATGTTCCAAAATGCCACTTCTGAAAGACATATGTTGCTCTATTAAGTATTCCTTTCCCCCCAGGTGAGCAGAAGCAGGAATTCATATTTATCTTTTGCAGTTACTGAAAAGGATCCAGGTATGTCACCTACCTTGAAGCAACAGAACTGACTGCGCTGCAGCCCGTGATGGCAACCTGTGACGTGCTTTCATCACCACTACACTTCCAAGCTTCCACAAGCTTTCTTTTTATCAGGCACATTTGAAGCAGTTGGTCTTGAACTTTACCTCTTCTGTTAGGAACCTGCCCACCCAGGAAGCTCTATAGGAGAGCCCCTTTTGAAGATGCTCCTGCCCTTGGAGGCTCATTTTTGTGGCAAATGAGAAGCTCCTTCTCCTGTGTTACTTAGGAAACACATTCCTTCAGTAGCTGCAATAGCCCCCCACTCTCAGCCTTTAGAAAAATCCAAGAAGAGACATTTCATTGTTCAAACTTTTAATTAATAAATGATTTAAATGCCTACTTTAATGTTAATTTAAAGCTTTGTCTTTTTAACTTTTTAAATTGTTTTTATTTCTATTAGCTGCCTTAAGTACCAGTCAGAGTGGAAAGGTGGGATATAAATAAATACAATTTATTTAGGTCAAATGCTTTTTTATTTATTTACAATATAAAGCCATGTGTTTAAGTATCTTCTGTTAGCCCACCTGCCAGCAAGAGGGTTGGCAGAACCAGAAAAATAGGCTTTTAGTGGATGGTGGTTCTTACTATCCTCAAGATGGGCACGAGCTAATAGCTTACATCAGCTCTTCTAGTGGAGAACCAATGACAAGCCTAGATCAAGTGGTCCCAGGTGAAAAGCACCCTCAGTACGTCTATATTTGAATTAAAATGATCATGTCTCCTTCAGGTTGTGCTCGACTCTTGATAATTTCAATGCACATCAGCATTGTTTTCTTGGCAACAATATAGAAGTAGTTTGCTATTGCCTTTTTCATGGATTTTTTTTTTTTTCACTTTTCAGCCTAGCCTAGAACCTGGATTTCTGGATTCTGAAGACTTTATTATTTTCTTGCACTAACTGTAGGCTTCACAGCTCTGATGGGTGCAAGATTTTTTCTGTCATATAAGATGCCACTTCTGGGGAGGGGACTTAGGATCTATAAAGCCGTATTACCTTGGCATTACATATAAATACCAGTAACAAGTGTCCACTCCCAAAATTGGCACTCGAGATTTTCCCTGTCCCTAAAGCTGGCCTTGATTCCTGGGAATTCCCCAGCAATCCACAGGACCCTACTAGTGGCTAAAACAATACGCTAATGATGGGTAGTATCAGGTTCAAATCTCCACCAGCTACTGTTATTATTTGTTACTATTTATTCAAGGTGAAGGCTTTAAAGAATAAAAGGAGCATAGCGCGGCATTCCCAAAGATGTTCCAAGTTTCTTAAAAAAAAAAAAATCACAGAGAACAGATTTACCACATAATGGATGAAGAGCTACAAATACAACCCAAGAAACAGAATATCAAGCAAGCAATATCAATTTCTCTTTAAGAGACGAAAGCTATAGCTCTTCCTTTTCTTAAAGAGCCTTGGAGATTTTCCGGCAAATCGCTCCCCCTACCTAGCAGGACTGCTGTGAGGATAAAAGGAAGTGGGATACCTGCAACGCGGAGTTCAGTGAGGAACCACTTAGGAGATAAAGAAAAACCTAAGATTTACATTCATGTCTTCTCCCCAAACGCCCACGCCCTTTCGTGCACTCCACAATTGCGTTTGCCGGACCCAGGTACCCATGATAAACTTGGTTTATCAAACTGACCAGTTCCATGGGTCTGTATGTCCCTGCCTAAGCCGCCTCACTCCACGGGCTAACTTAGCGCGCCCACCCGTTGAACCAAACTGTGGCTCATGGCTCGGCCTTTGCTGAGACTGTAATATAAATGCTCCTGACTGCTTCCGAAAGCTTCAGTCCCGTCCGACAGACATACCCCCTGGCTCACCCAACGCCAGACAGATGGAAAAGGAGCTGCATCGAGAGGAGGAAACACCCTCTCCAAATCGCGCTGCTCTTTCCAAACCTGCGAGGCATTAGGAAACCCTCGTGCCGTAAGCCCAGCTCCTTCGATTCCCACCAGAAGCAAAGCGGCTCCCGAAGAGGACAGGCACAGAAGTTACATTCCCCCCTTTCTGAAAACCATTTCCCCTGACGAGCCGGTCAACCGTCGCAGGCAGGCGGTTGAGCCCGGAAATCTGGCGCCCAAATTTGTAAATTATGGAACGGAGGGGCGGGAGGGGGGGAGAAGAGGGAGACCCCCCGCCCAGCAGCAACAGCCAAATTCTGGATGCACGTGCGGTTAACAACCGCACCCTCTCTCGGATCCGAGAGAGAGAGAAAGAAGAAACAGAAAGCAGGCAGGCGACCCCTTTCGCTCCAGAAGCGCGGCCGAAAACTTCGGAAGGGGCCAGGCTCGACTCGCTGGCAGTTGCGCAACAGCGAGG